ATTCTTAATGCTAATAAACCAATTAAAAATTATTATATTCGTACAAAACTTTCGGTTTGCACTCCAATCAATGAAACAACTATAAATTTATTAAATCCTAATGTTTTGGGAATTTTAAGTTATGAAGGTGCAAAAGGAAAACCAACATCAAAAGCTTATCCATTGAACAATTCAGAAGAATGTAGAGATGTGAATCCAAATAGTTTAAGTCCATTAAGTCAATTAAAACCACCTCAAAAAGTTGCTTATAAATTTGATTTAACAGTCGGTTTTATCAAAACACCAACGACTGGAGATGTTGGAGCAATAAATAACTCAAGCTTTGTAAGTAGCTTTTTAAATATAAATATATTAACAAGAAAATGTTATTATATACATAAAGAATTTTGTGTATTATTTTTATATAACACGTAATATAAATTATTTATTTTCTCTTTTTAGGTGGCTAGCCTTAATTTTCCGTCAAACCGGAGAATTATTAATGGAGTGGATCCATATACGTTTCCACAATATGAAAATGCTTATGTATATGGCAGCAACACTACAAATAGTAATTATAAAGATTCAGCTATTGATCTTTATATAATTAATAAAACTCCGCGTTCACATCCATTCCATTTGGTAAGTGTAACCGCTTATTAATTACTTTTTTTTTTAAAAAAAAAGAAAGCAAATACTAATAAAAATAAATAGCATGGGCACAGTTTTTTCGTTGTCTACAATGGTGAAAACTTAACTGCCAATAGCACGCCAAATCCATCGGAATTTAACTTAGTCAATCCTGCTTTTCGTGATACAGTAACTGTTAATGGTAACAGGTAATTATTTTAAGTGTTTGTCGTATTAATCCAATTATATTAAATACTTTACTAAAAAAATACATCATCATTCTGATATTCCTTATTATGCAGCACGACAGTAATTCGTTACTTAGTAGACAATCCTGGCGTATGGTTATTTCACTGTCATATACATTGGCACTTAGTTAAAGGCATGGTTGCGCAAATGATTGAGTTACCATCGTTAATTCCGAATACGGCACTCCCAGACGACTTTTTAGCGCTTTGTGTAACTTAGGTTAAGGTGAAAACATATAATAATTCTTGCTATGTGGGTGAAGACTTTTTTTAATGTCGGTGATTTTGCTTAGCGTCAATATACTGTATAATTAAAAATGTTTATATGCATATAATAAATTATCCAGTGTGTAGTGTTATATGTTTTGTTTTTTTTTAATTTCTTGTTGCAAATGTAATTTTTATTCAAGTTGACGGAAAGAGATATTTTACTGAAACATGCAAATTAGCAACTTCAATACATCAAAGATATAAATTGCAAAACAAATAATTTATTATACATAAAATAAATCATAAAATTAAAATAATATATATAAATTTATTAAAATAAATTAAATAAAAATAAAAAAAAACCCCTAGTAACACGAGGGAAAAAAAAAAAAAATAGGGTGATTTAAAGACTGACGAAGGAGACGTTAACAAAAAATCGTGAACGCAACGTCAGGAAACGAAACACGGCCGGCACAAGATCAAACGAACAAAGAAAATAACTACACTAAAAAAAGATCATTCTCTTCGTCTTTTTCGGTGAGACGCAAACTCACATTGGGCAAAAGACATAACCCTCGAAGGTTCTAAAATAGAAGGATCATACAAA